AAATAAAATTAATATATATATATATATATATATATATATATACATATATATATATATATATATATATATATATAATATAATATAATTATTTAGTAAATGTGATCAAATAAGTCCAATTGTACCTAACTCAACTTCAATTCATTATTTAAGGAATTCAATTCTTAACTTAATCCATTTTATTATTGAATCAAACGCAATAAATCAAGGCGTCGTTTGTATTAATTATCACAACTACAAATATTAGTGTTATAAAACTCGAATGAGTCAATAATTAGATCAAGATAGTAAATTAATAGGTCACTTATTAAATCAGTTAGTTAATGGTGAATTGATCTATATTAAATATATATATATATATATAAATTATAGATAATAAACTCTATAAATAAAAATTGCTACATAAATAATAAATAATTTGGCTTAATGGTGTAAATAAATTTAGTCAGAAAGGGAGCCTTGGTTCCAGGCCACCCTATAGAAAATTGTGCTCTATATTTGCCTTGTTTACTCAATAGTGTATCCTTATGCTTCAGCTTCAATCAATCAAATGCTTCAGCAGTGTTCCCATTATTACAAATCTTGAAAGATGATGGTTAATGGAATCACCAACAGTTAAATAAGTTATAAACAGTTACATTATCGATTTTGTTGACTGAATTATTAACTAGTTTATATGTGGGTGCCTATCATCATCATTATCTTCAATTATAACCACATCATATAATCTTATGGTTACTAATTATAATTGATTAGTAAGAAGAATGAGATACAAGAAAGAAGATGAGAACTTAAAAATAAGAATAATAACAAAGTAAAAAGTAATAACTAAATAAATATATAAGTATCTCCCTAAAACGAAATTTTAGTTTAACCTAAAGCTACCGCCACCCTTTGATTCACTGCTATATTGCAATTATCACAAACACAATTGTGTTTGCAGATGAATAATTCTTTATATACAGCTCGATTTCTTAATTCTCAGAAACCAAAATCTTGATCGGTTGTATTACTACTATATGACTGTATAAATTGTTTTTGCATTGATGGACTCGAATATGCCAGCCACATTAACAAGGCAAACCACTAAGCAATAGTGGTTCAAACACGCTCATAGTGGCTGAAGTTCCTGCTCTTTAACAGCTACATCAACTGGCTCGTATGAGTGCTCAGTTTGCTGTCTGTTTTTCCAAATTAAGAATATTCCAAAGGCTGCCAGTCCTAGAACCAATGTAAATAAAACACCTAAAGCCACAACCAAATAATATTGCTGCCACCAAGTCCTGCATAATTTCAGAAAAATGTTTAATGGATACAGAAAAATACTTAATCTATGTACTTCAAACAAGAAACAAAATTTTGATTCAACAACCATGCAAAATGTATGGTTAAATAGGATGACATGTCTAAAATTTGAAAAGAACAGAGGTTGTTTTCCCACTTGTTCCAAAAGTTTACTTTGACACAATATATTTGCATGACAAACAGGTAAAAATAGAAGTGAAGTATTAAAATTTTATGGTTCTAAATAGAATTAATCTTAAATTAATATTTCCAAATAATTACACTTCATTCTACCATTGAACTATTCACTAAGGCAGAAAACATGCCACAGGCTTCTACGCAGTACAGCGAAAAATATAAGGATTCAATATACTGCACCCCCATCTACACAAGGACCATAGTATGTGAGAACATGAAAAATGATAAAAACCTAATCCTCAGCAACTCTTGAAGTCGGTCATAAATTGAATTATATGATTTAGAGACCATGAAAAATAACTCTAAAATCATATACACCATAAATAGCGTTCAATGTACTGATGTTAATTTAGTTTAGGAAGCCTCTACTTTTGAAGAAGGAAACAGTCAACTAAAGTGCAAGCATTAAACAAGTGAGTAACAAATACAGTAATAGAATAATCAAATAGGATAAGTTCAAAAGTTGGCCCATCAATTCCCCTTCATCTAACAATTTAAGCTTATATGAATCTTCAATCTCTTTCATAAGAACTGGTGAAAAAGAAGTAATGATAAAACAATGAATTGTTGTTCAATCATGTGATTGTATAGATGATACGGAATTGTGCTGTTTCATAAGATCCAATGTCCTGTGAAATTCATATATGATATGTATCAATAGCTACTCAAGTCGAATTGAATCGTACAACTCAATTTGTGAAAGAAAGACTCTAATAACTATACAATCATATATAGATATTTAATATTGGTTGTATTAAAATTTAATCTTTGTAATGTTTTGTCAAGCAAGATTAGCGCCCTTTCATTTTCACCTAATAAGCTCTACAAATGCACACACTTATGAATAGTTATATAAATACATGAATGGCAGTATATATTTAGATCCAAGAAATTATCAAATTTTGTTTTTGGTCCCCAGTATTGTTTGACTTTTTTGTCTCAAATGAATTTATTACTTTGTTTTTATGACTAAACTTGCTTAGATGGCACTGGAACAACAAAATGGGATGAAAAAGTTAAAAGAAATTATTAGGGACCAAAAACAAAACTTGGTAATTTATCAAGAATGAAAACCCAAATTTAAGTCTACGTGAATATTAGTATCTATAAGTATGAAAAAGGCCTGCATATGTTCTCACAAATATCAGATGAGGAAACAAATAACCTTAACATGAATTTTAACAGATTAGTGAATTAGACTTTCCAACCAATCTGCATCAGTTATACTAGCTACCTCAGTATTGCATGCATTATGAATAATAAAACTTTAAGTTATGCAAGCACAAGTACATGATGGCAGGAAAGATAATTATCTGACTTCTTTCAAGAAAATATTTACCGTTTCAATGGAGGCTTGGCATTCCAATCAAGTAACTTATAACTTCCGAGTGAGTCAGGAATTTGCATTCGATGCTCAGAAAGCCGGGTAATCATACTCTGTTACAATGAAAATCACAATCAAACAGGCAGTCTTTACCAAAATGCATATGCACAAATGTCCACTTACCATTGCGGTGGCATTTGTAAAGAAATCAGCATATGGCCTCGGTGTTATGAGCCATTTAGAGAGAGAACCATTTCCAAGAGAAGAAACATTCAACAACTGAACCTGTGAGCATTCCAGCAAGTTTGTTGTCATTATAAAGTAAAAGTACACATCAACAGGGAAAAATTACCCAAAAATGCATATTGTTTTATCACTATTTTGGAAAATTGTCACATTAACTAAAAGTAAAACATCTACGACCTCTACCCAAATTCCAGCGCACACCATCCAAATGACATTGAGAAGGTTATATTATGGATATTATTAATTAAACGTTTATACTTCATCAAAACTATTAATTATAACTAAAGATGCAAGTATTCAACCAAATTTTCTGCACTTCAGTGACCGTTTCTAACCTGTGAAGTATTAACATTTAACTCGTTAGCAATGAGTCCAGTCAGTTCTGTAATGTGAGGTTTTATTTCCATGTAGCTGACGTTAAATGAAATTACAATTATTATTTGAGCAATTTGGAGTTCACCTGCACAATTAAGTTGATGAAAACAGATTAGTCATCAGTGACCTAAATCACAAAGAGATGGTAGAAATTTCTGAAAAATAAGCAATTAAACTAAATCAGTGAACTCTTTTATCAATTACTAACATCTTAGCCATGCTTGAACATGGTCTCTCAGCATAAAATAAAAAACAGCAGCTCATAATACCTAGCTCTAAATTATATTGTGATGGGGAGGGGGACGGAGCAACAGAGGGCTCAAATGCTTTGGTCAAATTTGTTCCTTCAGATTTTGGTGACATGGGTGATGGTGCGTCTGAGACATGTAGTCTTTCCCATAACTCAGAACAATTAGTCTTCCAGAAACCAATTTTTGTATGCTCACGATCATACATCACAAGAGTGTTACGAACAACAATACCTACTCAAACAAAAGAATGATCACTATAAGACAAACCCATACTAAATAATATTTAAAAGCGAGGGAAGTATGAAATGGCATGAAATTATCCATACTAAATAAGGTATACCTCCTAAAAGAGTAGTTGGATCATTGCCATTTGAAAAAACCCCAAGACAATATGCACCTCGCACTTTTAAATGCTTAATAAAAGACAACCACAGTAAAATAGGGATAAGAAAAGCAATCAACCAAGAAATACGACTAAGGATATTAATGATTTTATTGCACAACTAACCCGAAACAGGTAATTTTCAGGTGACAGTGACAACTTGTGACCATTTTCAAATACCATGTCAACTGCCGGAAAGCTTTTAGAGAGTTGAGAGACATCACTGAAATACAAGTAAACTCAAAACCGTTAATTAAGCAGCACCGTGTGTACATTCACTCCTTAAAAGTGCCACTTACCTTCCTGCACCAGAAAAACATATATCATTATAACGTGGATCTGGACCACTTATTTGCTTCAACGAGTGAGTTTCCTTCGTAATCTGCAATCAGATAAATGCATAATCTGAGTCATCAGTCATAAAAGATAAATTATATGGTATACAGAAGACTTTATTTTATATTGCAAACAGGAAAATTGATTTATGATACCAAAATAGTGATGAGAGGTTAAAAAGGACTCTCCAGGAATCCACAATACATAGCACATTCATTTCACTAACCGATTGAATTATCTAAGTGTCTGAGCTGTTAAGGGAGAACATCCCAAAGAAATGAATACCGAAATAAAGCATAATTAGTTATAATCTTAAAGCATTGTCACTTAAGTGCTGCTCCCAAAAAAAAAAATAGCTAGTAATGACTGCTAATATTGCATCGTCTGTTGATTAGAAAACTTAACGAGAATTTGCAAAAGTAAAGAACCAAAAAAAATGACATGAGAATTGAAGCATCTTTAAACTCTATTTAAATATCATAGAATACCAATAACCGCCGGTATGGCAAAAATATACTGCCTATTCAAGTAAAGAACAAACATCCATCCAATGAATTTTAAATTTATACTGAAAAATTTAAGCTCTTATAAAAACATAGTTGCTTTACCAAAGTGGCAAAGTGCATTACATAAATATTCAGTAAATTAAAAAAAAAAATCCAATAAATAACTCAAGTCACTTAAAACTAAGGGAAGACCAGGATCATGATTATGAAAGAAGAATATATCTGCAGCAATATTTGTATAATGGGGATGATTAACCCACAACAGCTCTAAGAGGTGCCTCCTACATGTGCAATAGGGGGTATTCAAGGCCTTCCTGGAAATCTTTAAAATTGAAATTTTTCTTACAAAGAATACCTTTATTCCATTGACAATTTTATTCTATCTCACCTCATAACACAGGAATGACAAGTCTCACTGATTTGAAAACAAGTCAAAGTTTCAGAAAATATGTAAGATTAAAATTGTAACTCAAGCACTTATACAGTGATATTTATGAGAAAACACTTACAGCATGTTTAAATGCAACAAATGCTGATTCTGGAAGGTATGCATAAGTCGTGCCACTATCCAAGACAGTTCCATGCTTCCCATCAAAAACCTTTGGGTTTAAATTCAATCGCTTACCCGCAACATGTAGCTCCTTCAAATTTATATTGTAATATGGACTGTTGGCATCCCAAAACTAGAGTAAATGTGTGAGATTAATAAAATGCATTTGTTAAGAAAATGCATGACATCTCATATCTGTAAAATAAGGAATTTGACACACACCTTCGACCAGGATCTGAATGTGTAAAAATCATGTCAGCTGGGGGAGATATGCTACCAAGAACCATAGCACCCCCACCAACACCCATTCCACCATAGCACAGTGAGAATGAATCACTTATCACTTTTTTCTGAACCAGTTGGTCCATGATACTTAGATCTCCACGGCCCAAACCCATGATTCCATCAGCATGCTGAGTATAAAGATCCCCAGTCTCATCATTTTCACAGCCAAAAGTAGCACGTTGAGGGGAAAGCTCACTCTGATTTCCAAAGGATACAACATCCTCACCAAGGACCCCACTGCTAGTACTCATTTCCGCATACCGTCTCTCATACGTGCACTGCTTCCTGTCTGCATCACAGTTGCACTGCCATGTGCATTTTACAGGTTGATAGGTTTCTGAATCTTCTGGCTGGAACTTTGGATCCTGTTAAAAAAAATTGGGCACACAAATCCAATCCACTTCAGATAAATCAGGTGAGATACATGTGCATGGGCACTATAATTTCTAACCAAAAAATATTCTGTTAACATCTTTTTAAAGTTGAAATAAATGGCATTCAAAAACAAACTGAACGCGACAGAGGCATAAGCAGTCTACCTCGCAACATTAAAGGAGTGTTGGTAGTTGGTAGAAGTGAAAATTGGAGGAATGAGAATGAAATTCAGTATCTCGAGTCTAGACTCATCTTATATCTGAGGGAGTTATCAATTTTCAGTCCTCCATTTTTCTATTTTCACAAATATACAAAGCACACCCGGGAGTGTATAAATTTAAAAAAAAATCATATAACCCCTTCAATGTGTATTTTTATCACAAACTCACCTTAGGACCTCACTCAACTCCCTCAAAACTCATCTAGCCTTACAAGAATTTCAGATCTCAACGTCACCACACCCCCCACCCCCCCCACCCCCCTCCCCCTCCCCCCTTTAGGTCACTCACCTAGGACTAGACATCCAGAGCATGGACCAATGCAGACCAGCAACCTCCTTCACCCTAAGAATAGACATCTTGAGCACAAATAAATGTGACTCAATAATCAATCTAGAATAGACTCTGATATCATCCTAAAATATGGCTTATGGCCTTGAAAAGCGAAGACAGTTCTTATAATAAGGAACATATTAGATGTAGATCATCAAGTTGGCCACTCAATAATTTTCATAATCTCGAGTTAAATCCATAATCAAATAGCACCTTTTTTACACAAATTTAACAATCAATCAAAATAAACATTAATTTATTGATCCAGATATGAATAGTAACACTACCTGGTGTTTACCACAGTGTTGGCAAGTAGAACATGGGACATAGGTCACAGTGCTCCCCGTATCAACAATTAGAGCAAACCTCTGCGGAGGAGTACCGATCCAAAGCCGTGTCGTGTAGTACCTACTCAATCCATATTCCAAAACACACACAATTAGAAAAAAAAAGTGCGAAACTATTTTGAGAAAGAGGAAAGGAAACGATGTGGCGAAAGAGACGAACCCGTTCCGGAGGAGATCGTCGTGGAGCCTCATGCGAGCGTTAGGGTGGCGTTGGGACAGCGATCTCTGAAGTTGACGACGGGGGCTAAAGTCGGAGACGTAAGAATCGGGAACAGAGTGCTGTAGAGGAAGAATCATAGCAGTACGAGAACCCTCGTTTGGTAAGAGTAACACTTTGCCGTAGTCCCCGGAGACAACAACCCACTGCGCCAGGGATAGAATAAGGAACACGACGGAGATGAGTTGCGTCCGTTGCAAAGCCATGAGTCAAACTTCTTTCAAGCGACGGCGTAGATCAAAGCCAAACAGGAACTGAAGACTGAAGACTAAAGACTCCACCGAGAAAAAGGAGTGTCTCAATTTACACAAAGAAAGGAGAAAAGTCAAACCATCCTCTGCTGTACCTGAAACCAAAAATATCCATTTTCGCTTATTTATTTTCTAGTTACCCAGCTTGACTGTTTTACCAATTGTGTCACCACCATCACCTCTTTTTTAAGAAAAAATAACATATTCCCAATATCAGACATAGATTACTTAGTATATGGTTGTCGATTTTTATTTTTTTTTACGAAAATATATCACGACACATTTTACGTTGGTTTGACACAGAATATAAAATTAAAACAGAATATAAAATTAAAATAAAGTATAAAATTAAAATGATTTTAAAAGTGTAAAGTTTTATATTTAAAAAAAAAACTAAAATGTAAGTAATGATAATGTTAAACAAATGTAAAAGATTTAGGTACGTGAAACTATCATTTCTCTTTTTTTTATCAAACTGTAAGATTTTTTTAGTTCAATTTTTTAATACTGAGTTTGAAAGCTTAATGGTTGTAGAATAATATAATTAAATATTTTAATAAAAAAACATATAATATTACTATAAATTAGAAGGAACACTCTAACATTGAAAATACACCTAAAAAGTTAAATTTCTCATAATGTTTATCTCAAAATTTCAATAATAGTATAATATTTACCTAACAACAATAAATTTAAATTTAGAATTGAAAAAAAAAAATGTTAAATATTTCACGCTTTTTAAGAAAAATTAAACTAAAATCATAAAAAGAGTATATACTCCTAAGACTCAATATCACAATAATATATAATATACACCTGATAACCCCATCAGAAAAAGAAGAAAAAAACTCATTATTGGTATGTGCACGGAGAAAAGATACCGTAGGAAAAGTATAAAAAGTAGAGGGGTTTTAAAATGTGAGCTACAATTATGTGGGAAAAACATTGGTTTTTGAATATTTGATTGGGATGTTTGTTAGGATTGTTGAATGACTTCAGATGTAAGAATGTATCAAAAATATCAATTTTACAAACATTGTTTACTCTGTCACGGATGAATGAATATCCGTTATCGCAAGACAGTTTCCTTTGGTTCCCTTTTTCTTGCCTATATTTTGAAAGAAATGTTATTGCTGCAATTGACATGGACTTAAGAGGGTATCATAAGGGTATATATACATTGTCATATTCTAGCCACAGCCCAAAAAGCAATCCCAATCTAGTGGACAGGGTCAGCCAGAGAGAACAATGAAGGGAACTATTTGCTTGAACATCAAAGTTCTACAAACTGTCTCAGCTACATTATCTCAACATCCAAGGTATGCTTACAGCTGCATTTATACATAGAGTTCTGACAGAATTACAGATACATAAACTCCGACTCGTTTTGTTTTGTTGAAGTATGACAACCAAGGTTCCTGTGCCCCGTGCATCCAGTTGCAAGTTCTTTTACAAATAACAAGCACGAGTGAGCCTTAAAGAATAGAGGAAAATTACTTGTGAAACTTGAACGACTGCTCAATTCTCTGCGGTAGCAACTGTCTTAGATCCGGTTAAACGTTGCCATGGTGTATAGGTAATGGCTCGTGAAATAAGGTAAAGTACGAATGCAACATATGCAGCTGTTAATACAAACACTATAGCTGCAAACACTGCTCCATTCACTTCAGAGGAGAAGAATTCCACCAAAAGATAGCCGTTTATCACTATCACCAGAGCAGCCACAAGCCAGGAAATAATCTGTATCCATGTCATCCAAAAGACAATAATGATTCATGACTATAGCACAATTAATTCAAGAGAACAAAGCATAAAATCGGGTAAAGGGGTGTTGGTCTAAATACAACCAATGTCCACAGAAGCAACAATTGAAGAACACCTTGGCAGAAAGCAAAGCATCATATAAACAATACTGTTTTAGCATGTCCAACATTAAATAATATTAAGCAGAACCAACGCCCCAGAAAAAACTTATAAAGGAAAAAAAAAAGACGGGTAGGGGTACAAAAAAGGAATCCTTGAAACTACTGACTCCGGAAAGCATAAGTCGTTCTCGTTAACCTAGGTAGAGAAATTATCNCCCCCCACCCCCCCCACCCCCCTCCCCCTCCCCCCTTTAGGTCACTCACCTAGGACTAGACATCCAGAGCATGGACCAATGCAGACCAGCAACCTCCTTCACCCTAAGAATAGACATCTTGAGCACAAATAAATGTGACTCAATAATCAATCTAGAATAGACTCTGATATCATCCTAAAATATGGCTTATGGCCTTGAAAAGCGAAGACAGTTCTTATAATAAGGAACATATTAGATGTAGATCATCAAGTTGGCCACTCAATAATTTTCATAATCTCGAGTTAAATCCATAATCAAATAGCACCTTTTTTACACAAATTTAACAATCAATCAAAATAAACATTAATTTATTGATCCAGATATGAATAGTAACACTACCTGGTGTTTACCACAGTGTTGGCAAGTAGAACATGGGACATAGGTCACAGTGCTCCCCGTATCAACAATTAGAGCAAACCTCTGCGGAGGAGTACCGATCCAAAGCCGTGTCGTGTAGTACCTACTCAATCCATATTCCAAAACACACACAATTAGAAAAAAAAAGTGCGAAACTATTTTGAGAAAGAGGAAAGGAAACGATGTGGCGAAAGAGACGAACCCGTTCCGGAGGAGATCGTCGTGGAGCCTCATGCGAGCGTTAGGGTGGCGTTGGGACAGCGATCTCTGAAGTTGACGACGGGGGCTAAAGTCGGAGACGTAAGAATCGGGAACAGAGTGCTGTAGAGGAAGAATCATAGCAGTACGAGAACCCTCGTTTGGTAAGAGTAACACTTTGCCGTAGTCCCCGGAGACAACAACCCACTGCGCCAGGGATAGAATAAGGAACACGACGGAGATGAGTTGCGTCCGTTGCAAAGCCATGAGTCAAACTTCTTTCAAGCGACGGCGTAGATCAAAGCCAAACAGGAACTGAAGACTGAAGACTAAAGACTCCACCGAGAAAAAGGAGTGTCTCAATTTACACAAAGAAAGGAGAAAAGTCAAACCATCCTCTGCTGTACCTGAAACCAAAAATATCCATTTTCGCTTATTTATTTTCTAGTTACCCAGCTTGACTGTTTTACCAATTGTGTCACCACCATCACCTCTTTTTTAAGAAAAAATAACATATTCCCAATATCAGACATAGATTACTTAGTATATGGTTGTCGATTTTTATTTTTTTTTACGAAAATATATCACGACACATTTTACGTTGGTTTGACACAGAATATAAAATTAAAACAGAATATAAAATTAAAATAAAGTATAAAATTAAAATGATTTTAAAAGTGTAAAGTTTTATATTTAAAAAAAAAACTAAAATGTAAGTAATGATAATGTTAAACAAATGTAAAAGATTTAGGTACGTGAAACTATCATTTCTCTTTTTTTTATCAAACTGTAAGATTTTTTTAGTTCAATTTTTTAATACTGAGTTTGAAAGCTTAATGGTTGTAGAATAATATAATTAAATATTTTAATAAAAAAACATATAATATTACTATAAATTAGAAGGAACACTCTAACATTGAAAATACACCTAAAAAGTTAAATTTCTCATAATGTTTATCTCAAAATTTCAATAATAGTATAATATTTACCTAACAACAATAAATTTAAATTTAGAATTGAAAAAAAAAAATGTTAAATATTTCACGCTTTTTAAGAAAAATTAAACTAAAATCATAAAAAGAGTATATACTCCTAAGACTCAATATCACAATAATATATAATATACACCTGATAACCCCATCAGAAAAAGAAGAAAAAAACTCATTATTGGTATGTGCACGGAGAAAAGATACCGTAGGAAAAGTATAAAAAGTAGAGGGGTTTTAAAATGTGAGCTACAATTATGTGGGAAAAACATTGGTTTTTGAATATTTGATTGGGATGTTTGTTAGGATTGTTGAATGACTTCAGATGTAAGAATGTATCAAAAATATCAATTTTACAAACATTGTTTACTCTGTCACGGATGAATGAATATCCGTTATCGCAAGACAGTTTCCTTTGGTTCCCTTTTTCTTGCCTATATTTTGAAAGAAATGTTATTGCTGCAATTGACATGGACTTAAGAGGGTATCATAAGGGTATATATACATTGTCATATTCTAGCCACAGCCCAAAAAGCAATCCCAATCTAGTGGACAGGGTCAGCCAGAGAGAACAATGAAGGGAACTATTTGCTTGAACATCAAAGTTCTACAAACTGTCTCAGCTACATTATCTCAACATCCAAGGTATGCTTACAGCTGCATTTATACATAGAGTTCTGACAGAATTACAGATACATAAACTCCGACTCGTTTTGTTTTGTTGAAGTATGACAACCAAGGTTCCTGTGCCCCGTGCATCCAGTTGCAAGTTCTTTTACAAATAACAAGCACGAGTGAGCCTTAAAGAATAGAGGAAAATTACTTGTGAAACTTGAACGACTGCTCAATTCTCTGCGGTAGCAACTGTCTTAGATCCGGTTAAACGTTGCCATGGTGTATAGGTAATGGCTCGTGAAATAAGGTAAAGTACGAATGCAACATATGCAGCTGTTAATACAAACACTATAGCTGCAAACACTGCTCCATTCACTTCAGAGGAGAAGAATTCCACCAAAAGATAGCCGTTTATCACTATCACCAGAGCAGCCACAAGCCAGGAAATAATCTGTATCCATGTCATCCAAAAGACAATAATGATTCATGACTATAGCACAATTAATTCAAGAGAACAAAGCATAAAATCGGGTAAAGGGGTGTTGGTCTAAATACAACCAATGTCCACAGAAGCAACAATTGAAGAACACCTTGGCAGAAAGCAAAGCATCATATAAACAATACTGTTTTAGCATGTCCAACATTAAATAATATTAAGCAGAACCAACGCCCCAGAAAAAACTTATAAAGGAAAAAAAAAAGACGGGTAGGGGTACAAAAAAGGAATCCTTGAAACTACTGACTCCGGAAAGCATAAGTCGTTCTCGTTAACCTAGGTAGAGAAATTATCAAAAATCTCAATGGTGGGCATTATTTTATCACATGTAATCTACATATGTCATTTTCTTGACGTTTCAAGACAATGCTGATTCACATACTCTCCAACTGCAGCAAAATAACGCATGATATAGGATATTGAAAATACAGTTTTGAGCCCATGGGCAGGAAGCACTAAATCCTTATAATTACATAAAAAAACATGTATCAAATGACTTTTATGTTTTTAATATAGTAAATGTTTTACACTTTTAATAAAAACTTTCTATTTTTCTCTTCTTAACATGTGCCCATGGTCACATTGGAAAAAATGATGAAAACATAATCTCATGATGATAATATAATAATATACACAGATAAGAATAGAAGAATGTATGGCTTTGGAATAGTTGTTAAGAAGATCAAGGTCCTGGGGTGAATAATTTGTGAAACTAGATAATGGACAGTCCACTATCTCACCTCCTTTCAACTCTCAAGACAGGACAGTAAAATCAAGCTACCCGTTTTCCTTCTTAAAATCTAATTTTGAATTATAGGAGAAATCAGGTATGCCTTAAGTCAATTCTGAATTATCTCTTGCCAGAAAAGCAAGACATAAAGGACTGACTACCCTGGGACATTTCCGAATTATCTCTTCCTAGGTTTCATTTAATTGATTACCCATAAAGGAAGATAAAGCTGGCAATTTTATATCAAATGAAATAATACGACATTTCAAAGTCTTCCATCAAATTAATACACTGACAACGGGCAAAGTCTGACAAAAATGCAGAGAAAGTGATAATATATACCTTAAGGACAGGGCCAATTCTGAAACTGCCCATTATCTGTTCTTTGGACACCAAGCAAAGCAAGGGAATGAGTGCAAATGGGATTTGAACTGATTGGAGAACATTAAGCCATTCGTTCAGAACATCTAATGACTCCTCCGAGGTATCGAATATAAGAGCAACTATCATTGTTGGGATGATTGCAAAACTTCGAGTAATCAATGCCCTCACCCACTTTTTCAACCTTAAATTCAGAAAACCCCCCATGATAAATTGTCCCGCATATGTACCAGTAATTGTGCTACTCTGGCCGGCTGCTAACAACCCAATACCCCATATATACATGATGGGGAAAAGTCCACCCCCGTACTTCTCCTGAAGGTACTGACCTGCGTTTACAAGACCAATGTTTTTTGCTATTTCAGTACCATAAAAGCCCTTGGCAAACACAGTTGTAACAAATATATTAATCACAAAGGACACCGCCAGGGCGATGGTGGACTCTATCGAGTAGTAATTAAGAGCTTCCTGAACACGGCCTTTCTTGCTGGGGTCAACCTGCCTAGATTGAACAAGCGCAGAATGCAAAAACACATTGTGAGGCATAATAATGCAACCCACAACTCCAACAGCTTGTTGTATAGTTCTGGAGCTAAGTTTAGGAACCAAAATACCTACAAATATAAGATTGAAGTGTTTATCAGATATGTCGGAAGAGCACACCTAAGAATTTACTCTAAGACAGTAAAATTCCACTCGCCCAAATCAACTAAACGAAACATTAAATTTGGTTCATATGATGTCTTCGTTTTAAGTTGTAAGCTTTAGTCCCTACTCGTACATAAAAGTTAATTTTGGTCCTCGACGCCAGCATTAAAAAAGAATTTTAAGCAGTGTAAAACCACTACAAAAGCTTTCTAACGTTTATAAACCATTAAAAAAAACTGTATAGAAACTAAAAAAGACAGTTTTTTATAGAGACTAAATTAAAACATGGATGAGTACTGGGAGAAAGTGAATAGTTGAAAGTAAAAACCAAAACAAACTTACCAACAAGAACATCAACACCATTGGGCTTTGCTTCACCAAACATCCACGCAAACGACAGAGCCATTACAGCAATCAGAACAGCGAAAAACGCCTCCAGTTTCCTCACACCATAGTTCTCAAGAAAGAGAAAAATGAAACTGTAGAAAAAAAATAAAGACAATTAAAAGAGAAGCTAATTAAATAACTAATTGCTCCATTTAAAATATCTAAATATGGTTTAAGAAAGAAAGGGAGACAAATGTTAGCTACCAATCTAAAGCTGTAACTACGACCCCAGCCCAAAGGGGAACGACGCCATTACTGAGAATCTTGATAGCAATAGCGCTCCCGATAACCTCCTGAATGTCAGAGCCAATAAGAGCGATTTCAGTCATAAGCCAGAGCACAATCCTAGCCCATGCAGGATACTCTTCCCTGCACAGTTCAGCTAAGTGTCTCCCAGTGGCGACGCCAAGGCGGGCCGAGAGAAGCTGAATAAGGAGGCCCATAGCAGTGGCCCACATGAGGAGCCACAAGAGGGAGTACCCAGCAATGGCACCAGACTGAAGATCCCCCTCCAGATTCCCGGGATCCAGAAACGCGATGCTCATCAGAAACCCCGGCCCCGTGAACAGCCACAGCTTCCGCCATGAGAACGGCAGCGCCTCGTCACCCTCCTGCTCGTCGATTCCGACCACCACGACCTTGTCCGCGGAATCGTACGCAGTCTCTTCCTGCTCCTCCGCTAACAGCGGCTGGTGGTGGTCTTGTGGAGGCATCGCTGAACGAGGAAACTAAAGAACGAAGAAGTGAGTGGCGTTGGTGTTACGCCAGCGTGGTCACTCGCTACTGTCTCGGCGGCGAGAACCAGAACAGTCTGATTTAGTGCTTATCGTATAAAAATAAGAATCAATTGAAAACAACCCTTGCGTTTTCCGGAAAGGAAATTCAGTTGCTCTCGTTTATCTTTTTTCGCATTTTTCCTCCCACACTAATCTATGTCTATTTATTTTCCCAATAGAATAAGGTTTCTTGTGATAATACGTATCGTGACATGACATCTCAGGCGCCAAAGTTAAGAAGATATCTTCCTCTTTCTTTTTCGTTTTTTCTCTCCGCTGTTTTTATATTTTTTTTCGTGCTTTATATTTTTTAAACAACTGTTATATTAAATAGGAAAAAGAAAAACTTCATGGAGGAGAACGGAAGCACAGGAGATACAATTTTCGATATTTATGAAAGGTGATCAAATCTAAAAAGTAGTTTTTTTTTTATAGATATTTTTTTAACCTTTAAAATAAATAGCAACTAAAAATACATTATTCTTTATTAAAAATGTTTTATTACGCGTATTAATCCGAAACACATATTTTTAATAACTCGATATCCTTGTAATTTAGATTTCACTCTCTCCAGATTGTATTTAGAAATTTAAAGTAAAACATAATTTAATAATGTACCAAAAAATAAGTATATACTTAAAACTGTACCCGAAAAAAATGCCTTTTAGGAAGGTTCATAACCTATTTTTCTAATGCCAAAGCAAACGTCAACAAAAGATTAAGATTTTATTTCCTAAAATTAAACTTTGAAAAGAAAAATATTTTTTTCTGTCACATCCAGTATGATTGGATAGACAAACTCGAACTTCGCGTGGCTCCTCCGGAACCACTTTTATTAACACAAAAAATTTGATGTAAACACTATTTTATGTGTTAGGGCAGTTGGGAATGGTGGTTTTCCATTATTTTTAAATACAAAATTTAAAATGCTTAAAATAAATTATGATCATATCACTTTATTAATAATATATTTTATAATTTTTTTAATTATGTTTTTAGCAGTGGATAAATTTAAAAACATATAATTGAATTTCTATTAAATTTTTTGGGATTTATTGATTTTTCACAATTTAAAATTTTTCAATAAATATATGTCGTTAAATTTTATAGTCACATCTATAATTAATAAAAAATCTAATATATAAAACAATTAAAAAATTAAATTTGAAAGACAATAAATTATTAAAATTTAATAAATATTCAATTAAAATTTTCAAAAGCGTGTGGAAACATGTTTAAGCCTTTATAATTAAACATGTAAACTTTATTTGTTATGATTGGAATATTGATGCATTAAAAAATTCAACTGATCCGTTAAAATTGATATCATTATTATCATCGATGTTATATAATTAGAGCTTTTGAGTATATAATGCAACTGGGTTGAGTGACCCATAAGTTATAACATGTTCTGAGTTGAAATCAATCATAAAAAGTACAAATAGATTATACTTAAGTCCCAAAACAAAATCAGACCCAACTTTAAAAACTATAAACACACATTCTCTAGTCATTCTTCTTGAAAAGACTGCATTTTTTATATATTTTTTATGCATGTCGATATGTCATCACAATTACGACACTTTTAATTTGTGGTTTGCAGTTAGATGTTTCTATTCGATGCTTTAAAAGAATCCACTTATATAACAAGACTTCAACTTTAAATAAATTTTAAGTATAGTTTAATTTTGTAAAATATATTAAAAAGAATGTAATTTAATTTTATAAAATTAATTTATATAGAGAGATTTATATTTATTTATATTATAAATTAAGTTTATTTTTACTATATATTAAACTTTTAACACTTTTATTTTTGTTTTTCTAAATTTAAAATAACAAATTTTTTATTATGTTTCAATTTAATTACTACAAAATAAAAAATTATAATAAATGATAAGTACATATATATTAAATAAGAACGTTAAAATAATTATAATTGATTAACTTAAAACTTTTAAATATACATATCTATTAACTTAGGAAAAATTAAAATTAGTGATTTTTTAAAACTTTGATAAAATTTAGTTTTTCAATTTTAGAAATATATGAATTTAATATTTTTAATCATATGATATTTATTTGATATTTTAACGCATTTTATAATAATATTAAAGTTTTTTACACTATTTAATATATTAAAAACGTATTTAAAATCTTAAATAAACTTAATAAAATTTATATAGAATTTTAAATTCATACTCTTTTAGAAATAAAAAAGCTAAATTAATTTAAAAATTTTTAAAACAAACTAATTTCAATTAAACTTAAAAACATATTTAACTTTATTAAAAGTAATATATATATATATATATATATATAATAAAAAAACTTAAATTACAGTTATAAAGGATGACAAAATTATTCAGAAAAATTATCTGCATTAAAGAAAAATGCCCTTCTCGGCGGCATATCTGACATCAGAAATATATATATAAGTAATTAATACTTACACCATCTAAAATTTCGTATTTCTATCATCTACCTCAACGTACGATCTAACAAGAAGTACACATGTACTCAATCTTGGTCCCACCCATTTGCATAATTTTGTTGGTTTTTTCTGCTCTTTAAGATTATTAAAATGGCTTTTTTGAGAGGAAGAAACGAGATATCAATAAATAAACAGTCTAATAATACATAAATAAAATCTGGGAGTGAAATATCTATTGTACGGAAAAAGTAGGGAAAATAAAAAATAAAGATAAAATATAAATAGTTTAATTATTTTGTAAACATTTTTTTCATTCTGCATAATATTACGCATTTTATACTTATTTTCTCTTCTTTCAAAATAAACAAAAAAACATTCATTATAAATAATTTAATATGACGATTTAGATTGAGTTTAACATATCTACTTTAGTATGATTTAAATTTAAAATTTATATCAAATCGCATTAGTTGAATATAGATTGTTTGTATTATGAATTAATTTTGACAGATAATTTATTCAAGTTTAATTTATAGTATTTTTTTTAATGAATTAAATAGACACGAAATCCTTGATAAAAGAAAACACATGTTTGAGTTTAATTATTTATTTTTATAGTTTAGTAGGACTTTATTATGCTCTGGCCTACATCAACCAGTCATTTTTTGTCTGATATTTATTACTTCTCATGCGTGCAAACCGACATGTTGTTCTCATCGAAAATAAGATGCGGTACTTAATCACATGCAATGTCAGTAAAAGATACTCACATCAAATATTTATAATTCCATTTGATATGTTTTGTAGTAAATTATAACGAGATCTCCTCATGTTTTTTTTTTAAATTGATCTTTCACATTCTAGTAGTAAATTGTAAAACTTTGGACTTCAGGCCTCTTACTCTGTAGCTATATATTAGATTACGAATAAATTTTAGCGAAGTTATTATAATTGAATTATGTTTAAGAGTTAAGTTAAATTTGTAATTGGATGATTAAGTCCATGCAAGGGTAACATTGGTTAGTTAATGATATATTTGTACATGATTTTAGAATGTTGGATATGACGTTCATTGAATTGAGTTTTCAACTATTACTTTAAGATGAAATGTATATGAAATTATGTTTAAATAGCTGTATTTGATTTTTAACTTATTAAATATATTGAAAGTTGTATAATAGGTTTTTTTTTTTAACTATTACTTTAAGATGATTAAATTTGATTTATGATATATATGTTTTCTCGGACAATATATTCTTATTTAAATAAAAATGAAAACAAAAAAATTGGTTGTTGTTTGTATTGTCTTCTAATTATAGTAATCTCGATCAAGTAGAATGATCCACTTAAACCACGATTTCAAATGTGGTTTAATTTAATTATTCAATATATAAGTAGCATGATGAATTTAACTAGTAATAGTATATATGCTTATCAAAATTTTATTATAATGATTATCAATAATACTTGAATATGAATAAATTAAGATTCTAAATTTATGATGGTATGTGAACTTTTGATCAAATATATTTATTAATTACAAATATGTTTGTCTTTTTATGTTTACATTATATACATTAAAATCCTAACCTATAAGAATGAATATAATTACACTAATGACTTATAACGTTTATTATGTTCATGTTAGTATAAAAATTTGATAATAAAAATGTATGGTGAAATTTTTTTAAATATTTCGTCTTGATCTTGGATCTACCACAACAATTGTTTTTGAAAATTTCTGAAATGATACTAACAAAAGTCAATTTGGATTGAAGCTTTCGTTCTCTCCAATTGTATTTTTACATTAAGGTTAGTGTTTTCATGATTGTTTTTCTCATATAAGCTCTTTCTTGTTCATATGTTTTATCTAGATTATTTATGTGTATGATGGAATATCATGATATCGAGAAGTATCTAATCACTAGTAAGTGAATTGAAACTTGGACATAGATAGAACACCCAACTGGTTTGGATCTAGGAATAAATTCAATAACTTGTTCATTCTAGACATTTAATCTTAATGTGAATTGCATGTTAACTTGGATAAAGAATTAATAATTAAACATATAAATTTAGAACTTGCTACAGATGAATTAGGACTAGTACAACCAAGTAGTTTAAGAAAGCCTAAGCTCCAAAAGCACACAAAACTTTATCACTCTTATAAACAACAAAAACATGATTATGACATACCATTAAAATCACTGATTAACAGAGAGTCTTATAGAAAATTCGAATGTACATAAAACCCTAAATAGTTCATATGCAAAGGAAGACAAAATAGACAATCAAGAGAAACATAAAACTAACTTACTCTATTTGAGAAAACCGCTCTGGTGGAAGTGGAGAGCTCATGTCGAGGATTACTTTGACAATCTTTGATTTTCAAACAAATGAAAGAAAATGAGAACTCCAATAAAAAAAAATAAAAGAACCATAAAAAAGTAATTTATAAATAAATAATATATTTTAAAATAATAAAACTTATTCATAACAAAATTATTTATAACAAAACTACTTATAAAAAAATTATTTAATATTAAAATAGTTAGGTTTCACTATTTTCAAACCATTATCACTGGTACAATATCATTATTTTAAGTTTTACATATCTTATTTTAATTTTATTTTCTTATGGACAATCAACACAAGGTTTGTCCTCACTGCTTATATTCATTTTCGTTATTTCATTAATATAGACTATTAACATCAGGAGACATGACATAACTGA